ATCTGTTGATGCGCATTGGAGTCATTTCTACTTTTTGGCTATTATGATTAATGCTGCTATGAATATTTGTCTTCAAGTTTAGTACGGACATGTGTTTTCAGTTCTCTTGACTATACACCCAGGAATAAAATTATTGGGTCATATGGTAACTCTATATTTAATCATCTGAGGATCAGCGGCTGTTTTCCAAAGTGGCTGCAGCATTTTACATTTCCACCAGCAAAGGATGAGGGTTCCAATTTCTCCGCATGCTCACTAACATTTGTTATCATGTCATCTTAAAGTAGAGATTGCTTTGCTTTTTCCCGCCGCCCCCAATCTAGATGCCTTTATTTAACCTTTTTGCCTAATTGCTCTGGCTAGGACCTTCACTACACTGTTGAATAAAAGTGGTAAGAGTGGACACACTTGTCATATTTCTTACAAGAAACCATTCAGTCTTTCACCACAAAGCATGATGTTAGTTGTAGGTTTTTCATAGATGCCCTAGGTCAGGTTGAGGAAATCCCCTTCTGTTTCTAGTTGGTTGAGTGTTTTATAATGAAAAGGTATTGAATTTTGCCAGATGTGTTTTCAGTGTCAGTGGAGATGATCATGTGATTTTTATCCTTTATTCGACTGATATGGTGTGCTATACTAATTGATTTTTTCCATGTTAAACCATCTTTGCATTCCTGAGATAAATTTCACTTGGTCATGGTATCTGCTCTTTTTATATGTTGCTGGATTTAGTTTGACAGTATTTTATTGGAGATTTTTGCATCTATTCCTAAGAATGTTGGTCTATATTTTTCTTTCTTTCTTTCTTTCTTTTTTGAGACAGAGTTTCGCTCTTGTTACCCAGGCTGGAGTGCAATGGCGCGATCTCGGCTCACCGCAACCTCCGCCTCCTGGGTTCAGGCAATTCTCCTACCTCAGCCTCCTGAGTAGCTGGGATTACAGGCACGCGCCCCCATGCCCAGCTAATTTTTTGCATTTTTAGTAGAGACGGGGTTTCACCATGTTGACCAGGATGGTTTCCATCTCTTGACTGTGTGATCCACCCGCCTCGGCCTCCCAAAGTACTGGGATTACAGGCTTGGGCCACCGCTCCCGGCCTTATATTTTTCTTTTCTTGTGGTATCTTTGTCTTGTTTTGTATCAAAGTAATAATACTGGCCTCATAGAATGATTTGGGAAGACTTCCTCCTCCTCCCCCTCCTTCTCCTCCTCCTCCTCCCCGCCTCCTCCTTCCCCTCCTCCTCCTTCTTTTTGGAATAGCTTGTAAGGAATTATAGTTAATTCCTCTTTAAATGTTTGGTAGCATTCATCCATGAAGCCATCTGGTCCTAGGCTCCCCTTCATGTGGTTTTGTTTTGTTTTAACTAATTCAGTCTCTTTTTACTTGTTATGAGTCTGTTTAGATATTCTATTTCTTCTTGACTCAAGAAGAAAATACTTTTTGAAAATAGGTGGGTTAAAAGTCAACTTGTCAAAGTAATTAAAGAGTTGTTCTTTTCATTTGATATGATAGCTGTTGGTAATGTTGAATTTCCAGTGTTGTTTTGAGTGGTAAAACCATGGAATGAAAGGCCCCCTGCACTTCAGACATGACGCTCCTCATTAATGTCATGCTGGAAGGTTCAATCTCTGTCTCTGACTCCGTTTCCTCATCTGCAAAATGGGCTTAATTACAATCGTCCTTAAATGGCGTTGAGGGGATCAGGTGAGACATCCATCACATGCCTAGCATATAGTAGACACTCAATAATGATTATCTGTTTTCTCTATTATCTCTATTATTGTCAGAGTATATATATATCTGATAATTACCCACTAGGTGCTGGGGATCCTTCTAAGACTAAGGATACAGAGGTGAGCAAAAGCAGAGACTCTGGTGGTCACATTCTAATGGGGGATAGATCAAAATAAACACACAGAAAGGGTTTAAGGAGGTCTCTGCCTGATTTTAAGCCAACAGACACGGGCACAGCAGTCAGGCAGGTGCAGCTCCTATGTGTGATTTTTAATGATCAGAGCTAGGCTGGAGAACTTGATTGGCTGGACTCAACCTGAGCTCTCTGTTCCCACGTTCAGTCCAGCTCTAGGAAGTCTTCTGAGGCCAGGTTAGGAGCTGTAGTGCAGAACTTCTGAGACTCAGTGTCCGATCTTAAAGACTTCAGATGAATTAGCGACTCTGACTCCAGAAACCTGGGCCCGTGGCTCTTGCCCACTAGTCAGTGGCTTGTTCTGAGGACAAGGTGGGGAAAGTGGTCAGGAGTATGACTGTGTTGGGGGCTCTTCCCATGCTCAGTGGGGGTGCTCTTTCTAGACTCAGTGGGGGCTTCTTCCCCTATTCAGTGGGGGCTCTTATAACCAGTGAGGGGCCCTTCTTTACTCAGTGAGGTTCTTCCCCTTTTCAGTGGGGGTCTCTTCCTCTCTTCAGTGGAGATCACTTCCCATACTTGGTCGGGGTTGGGGGGCTCTTCCCATAGTCAGTGGGGGCTCTTCCCATGGTCAGTGGGGGCTCTTCCCGTGGTCAGTGGGGGGCTCTTCCGTGGTCAGTGGGGGCTCTTCCGATAGTCAGTGGGGGGCTCTTCCCGTGGTCAGTGGGGGCTCTTCCCCTAGTCAGTGGGGGGCTGTTCCCGTGGTCAGTGGGGGCTCTTCCCATGGTCAGTGGGGGGCTCTTCCCATACTCAGTGGGGGCCTCTTCCCCTAGTCAGTGGGGGCTCTTCCCATGGTCAGTGGGGAGCTCTTCCCATGGTCAGTGGGGGGCTCTTCCCATGGTCCTTCGGGGCTCTTCCCATAGTCACTGGGGGGGCTCTTCCCATGGTCAGTGGGGGGCTCTTCCCATAGCCAGTGGGGGGCTCTTCCCATGGTCAGTGGGGGGCTCTTCCTATAGTCAGTAGGGGGCTCTTCCCATAGTCAGTGGGGGGCTCTTCCATAGTTAGTGGGGACTCTTTCTATGGTCCCTGGGGAGCTCTTCCCATGATCAGTGGGGGTTTCTTTCTCTCTTCAGTGGACATCTCTTCCCATGCCTAGTGGGGGGCTCTTCTCTTGTTTCTCCTCTACAGGAGGAGAAGGTGACAGGGAAGTGGGAAGCACCTTTTACAGCACGGTGGGCGAAGGCTCTTCTAGGGAGGTGACATTGGCCAGAGAACTGAGTGGTGGGGGTGAGCCAGGCATGCAAAGTTCCCGGGCAGCAGGGTGGAAGTTTCTGCCTCATTGGTACATTTGAGAAGCAGAAATGGCTTTTCTGCCTCCTTTTCCCCCTTCCTGCATCTTTTTTTTTTTTTTTTTTTTTTTTTTTTGAGACAGTCTCACTCTGTCACCCAGGCTGGAGTGCAGTGGCACGATCTCAGCTCACTGCAACCTCCACTTCTCAGGCGCAAGCAATTCTCCTGTCTCAGCCTCCTGAGTAGCTGGGATTACAGGTGCCTGCCACCAGACCTGGCTAATTTTTGTATTTTTAGTAGAGATGGGGTTTCACCATGTTGGCCAGGATGGTCTTGATCTCATGACCTCAGGTGATCCACCTGCTTCAGCCTCCCAAAGTGCTAGGATTACAGGGGTGAGCCACCACGTCCGGCCTCTCCTTGTGTCTTTTTACCCAACCTTTCTAGATCTCATGCAGTCTCCATCTTCCTCAGAGCCTGCTGGTGCTGGGAGAAGAAAACAGCCTGTACTTTCCAGCCGTGACTGCTTAGAGACAAAACTTCTTAGGTGTGGAGCCCCGGGTCCTTGAGCTCCACTGCCAGTTGTTCAAGACAAAAGGCTTTAGAGACATCGAAGACCACTTCTTTGCTGAGATGCATCAGGATTTGCCCAAAAAAATTATTTGCCTTTCCAGAGAGTTTGCTTCCTGGTTTATTTAGTGGCTAGCAGCAGTCTCTCCGAGGGAAACCACTGGCTTTCTTAATGAGAAAATGAAGGCTTGTGTTTAAGCCTTGTCTCTGGTAAGTTGCATGATGCCAAGGGGCAGATGTTTACAGTGGCTCCCCGAGGGTGCCGGCCTCACCCTGGCAGGTGGCCGGGTTTCTGCCATGCGACAGTCCTGTGCTCACCTGGCACGTCCTCTGAGGTCATCGGATGTGGCTTAACCTCAGCTTTCAAGGACGACAGAAGGCGACTCTTCTAGTACCTGCCGTGGCCCTGACATTTCCTGCTTCCCCTAACCTTCTGTGCTTCTCTACCAGAGGAGCTCTCTACCCAGGGACATCTCAGCCAGGTGGAGGGGTCAGGCAGTGATCTGCAGGGCGAGAGAGTTAGTCCCTGGGATAGCCATCAGGTCCTATTCCTGGGTAGTCCAACTAAAGTCTTATTTTCTTTGGTTGCAAAATTTCACCTGGGCAAGGACAGATTAGCTTGAAGATCTGTGGGGGTACAGCTTCTGGTACCAGAACTTTAGACGCTGGATGAGTATTGGCAGGGACTCAGTGTGGAGGGAGGCGTGTTGTCTTTAATGCTGTGCTTAGGACGTGGGCTCACTGGTCAAGGCTGAGGCAGCTCACTGGGGTTGTCACCTCTATAGAAATCTCCTGCAGGGTGGCTGACTTCTGCCAAAAGATCGGTAGCTGATTCCTCTTCTCAGGGAGACTCGAAGTGGGACCCCATAGGCGGGTTTTGGCTTCCTGACTTAGCTGATTTAGAGCAGGTCTATTAGGTTGAACTGAATGGGGTGTCCTACCTTCTGGGATAGCCTGGGCTGCTGATAGGCCCACTGACAGGCAGGCTACCCTAGGTCTTGGTGGTTGCCCCTGCCTCGCTGTGTGACTTTGGATGAGTTGCTTTCCCTCTCTGGGATTTACTTTCTTCCTCTGTGAAATGAAGTGTTGAATAGATTTCCTAAGAATGTGCCTTTCACTTCTAGGCTGAAGGATCAGATCGTTGTTATTTCTCCCTGCCCTGGGCCTGACACCTAGAAGCCTCTCCATAAATATTTAATTGAATGAGTGAATGAATAAATGAATAACAATGTAGTGGTTTGTTATTTTTTTTCATCAGCTGTGTTTTTTCTACAGAGCCCATGGAAAAGACTTATGGCGTATGACCTCATTGGAGACTTGTACATGGGGCCAACCCCTCATTTTCCCACAGGAAACCCACACTCTAATTACGGGCTGACCCTGAACTTGAATCTGAGTCTCCTCTTTCTTTCCACCTGGGATTTCTTCAACAGAGAGCCATCTCTCCAGCCCTGTGGCAAGGAGACAGGGGATGTTACAGGAAAAATACACAGCCTGTGCCCTTGGAATTACCGGAGTTCGAAGCCTGTTCTGCATCTACCCACCACGTGACCTGGGTTAAGTTCTCCAGTCTCTCTAAGCTGATTTTCTCACCTGTGAGATGGGTAAGTGTGATCGGTTCTGAACTCACATCTACCTCACTGGGTTTGAACAGGCCTAAATATGCATCTGGAGCTTCACTAGCTACCCATCCTTTCTGCCACGTTCCCCCATTCACCTTCTAGCCCCATAAAGTCCTTGGTGGAGGAGGAGGTGGAGACAGAATCCTTGGTGTTGGGTGAGGTACGTGAAGAGGCTGATTTCAGAATCTCCGGCAAACAAAGCTTCAGTGTTTCGAGGGCAGTGCCCGCCTGTGCCTCCTCCTTACAGGGGGTAGTAGGAGTGGGGTGGGGCTGAGGTATTTCCCAGAACAGCTCAATCACATCTCCTGAGCCTGCCCTGCCCTGTGACCTGCTCCCTGGAAAGGAAGGAGAGACCCAGGGGAAAGGGAGGGCATTGGAGGTGAGTGCCTGAACGGACATCTTTGAGAATATTTGCATGACAAACTTTCTTGTAAAATCTGGGTAGCGCTGCCAGTTAACCCCCTGGAGGAGCCTTGGGGAAGTCGTGCTCTGAACCCCCACACGCCAGGTCCCCTTTCTGTGTTGCTCTATTTGCTTTTGCTGGTTCTGACACAGGGTGAAGGTATGTTCTGGATGGATCCCATCTCTCTGTCACCTGGTGCTGGCACTTCCGGGTGTCTGGGTCTTTCTGAGGCCACTTTGTTCACGTTTCCCCTGGATGTGAGACTGGATTGCATTTGTTCTGACTGTCCTCTTGCAGAAGAGAGCGTAGCTTTGCTTTGCTCTCCATCATGCCCCTGGAATGCACTTCTTTTCCACACTCCAGCCTTTGACTCAGTCACCTCCCCATCACCCTTCCACTGAACTTCCCTGTCTGCTTTTAAAGCCAAAGTCAACTTGACTAGACCACTTGTCCACCCTGCCATTTGCTAAACAAGCTTTGAATTCCAGTGATTCCAAGGCACAACCTGTGGATTTTCCTATTCTTTTGTTCTGTTTTTGATAGAGTGTCTCTCCGTGTTGCCCAGGCTGGAGTGTGGTGACACAATCCCGGCTCACTGCAGCCTCGACCTCCTGGGCCCAGGCAATCCTCCCACCTCAGCCTCCCAAGTAGCTGGGACTACAAGCACATGCCACCATGCCCAGCTAATTTTTGTATTTTTTTTTTTGTAGACACGGGGTTTTGCCATGTTACCCAGGCTGGTCTCCAATGCTCAGGCTTGAGTGATCTGCCCACCTCGGCCTCCCAAAGTGCTGGGATTACAGGCGTGAGCCACCACGTGTGGCCAGATTTTCCTTTGATGTCACCTGCCTCTCCACCACTTGTATGGGTTATGGGTATGTATGTTCCAGTGACGGATGATCTAGTTTTGATCAGTTTCATAACTTATCCCTTCTCCAAGAAGCCTCTTTTCCCTCGGTTACAGCGTAGGTTTATGTCTTTCCTTCTTCTTATCACACTCTGCAGTCATTTAATTTAGTTGTTCATGTCTTAATTCCCTTAATTCCATCTCCCCACCAAAAAAAAAAAAAAAAAAAAAAAAAGAGACTTTGGCTGTCACCTTTGTTATGATATCCGCATTGCTTAGCACAGTACCTGGAGCTTACCAGGTGCTCAATAGATGTTTGTTGAACAAATGAATGAATGGTCACCATTGTTCAATCTGGAGACAGAAAGCTATCAATTCACATTCTTCATAGCACCTCGAGGACAGGTACTATCCTTTTTATATCACAAACCATCAAGAATATTGACTGGTAGAATGATGTTGACACGTAGGTGCAGGCTAATGAATTCTATGGGCTTGGGCAGCTTTTGGTCGGGGCTTTGCGGATGACATCTGGAAACTGCTTCAGCGCAGTTTGGGGAAGGAGTCCATTTGTCCACCTTCAGGAGCACTGTTTACCTGCGTTTCCTTTGCTGGCAGTTTAACATTATCAGCCGAATTAAACCAGCTAATAATGTTGACTGAGCCCCTGTTGAGAGGATTAAAAACAACAAAAGCAAGCAAGAAAGCATGTGATACACTCGTTGATCCCGGAACACTTAACATTTGTGGGCGGAGCCAGAAATGTACACATCTTAATAACCACTGATGAGAGGCAGGATATGTCAATGTCAGATGAATGGAGTGCATGATAACGTACGGGTAGTTTTGAGAAGACAGACATCACGGGGGGGTGGGGTGGGAGGGAAGGTCATCCCCAGAGCCTGAAGTACGTGCCTGACACAAGCCAGGGCACAGAAGAGGCACTCTGCAGGGACAAGCCCAGCAAAGTCTGAAGAGCATTTCTGGCAGATGAGATGGTGTGAGCAATGATTATGGTGGCGGGGTCATCACAGTGGGAGATTATAAGGACCTGAACTAGGCTGGGAAGAATGGAATAATGGAAATATTAGACATTTGAAAGCCATGAGTCACAAACACTTAGAGGGGTGAAGGGGATGGAGCAAAAGAATAGAAAATGTGTCTAAGTTTTGAACCCTGATGTCTGGGAGACTCAGAAAAATCACAGGCCTCAGCAAAGAATCCAGAAAGAAAAAATGATTTGTGCTTGGTACCTTATCTTGGATTCTTCTCGAGGCAGAGACACATCTGTGTATAACTGGATTTGTGAGTTTACCTTTGGAAGCACAAAGAGAGTGAACTGGGAGGGAGAAGAGTCAATACGTGGTGGCTGATGGGAGGTTATACTGTGGGCATACAGGGCTGAATCTCACCGGGGATCCTCCAGGCAACTCGATAAAATAAACTTCAGAATTGCCAAATCAGGCCAGGTACAGTGACTCACACCTGTAATCGCAGCACTTTGGGAGGCTGAGGCAGGAGGATCTCCTGAAGCCAGGAGTTGGAGACCAACCTGGGCAACCTGGCAAGACTTTATCTCTACAAAAAAACTTTGAAGTTAGCCAAGTGTGGTGGCATGTGCCTGTAGTCCCTAGTCCCACTACTTGAGAGGCTGAGTTGGGATCATTGAGCCCAGAAATTCAGGGCTTCAGTGAGCTAAGATTGCACCACTGCACTCCAGCTTGGGTGACGGGTGACGGTGACCCTGTCTCAAAAAAAAAAAAAAAAATTGCCCAATCAAAGGATGAAAAAGATGGACTATTTATCCAATGACTCCATTCCTTGAGGGTTGTTCTTACAGAGGGTAAACCCCTGGCATTTCTGAGATGCTTCTGCAAGGAGCTAAACATGCCCAAAGAACAGGAAAAAAAAAAAAAAGAAAAAAGAAAAAAGAAAAGGAAGAAAGAAACCAAGAGTCACAGGTGGCTGAGGCGGGAGGTGGCCACTTGCTGGAATTGTCCACTGTGGCTGCAGGACAATTGGGCAGCAAGGGACCATTGGGTGGGATGTCATCAGTGGGTGGTTATAGATGCTTGTTCTTAGACAGCCTGGGGTTGAGCTGATACAGACACGTCTAATGGGCAGGCAGGAAGGCAGACTCGGGATCGAGCCAACGACCTCATTGGCAGGATTGGGTATGAGAGGGAGCAAGGTACTGAAGAAAGGAGACCAGGGACAGCTCAGAACTGGAGCCTGGGATGCGTCCTACAGGTAGGGGCAGGAAGGGAGCATAGTCGGTGAGCAGAGACCTTATGCCTGGCACATGATGGCAAAAGCCAAGGGTAAAGAGGGTTTGAGGAAAACAAACTGCAGAGAGGGCAAAACGAAGAAGGCTAGAACCAGCCCCCTGGATTGGGTGGTAAGCAGGTCCCTGGGGCCTTGGAGAAGACACCTTTTTTTTTTTTTTTTTTTTTTTTTTTTTTTTTTTTTGAGATGGGGGCTTGCACTGCTGCCCAGGCTGGAGTGCAATGGTGCGATCTCGGCTCACTGCAACCTCCGCCTCCTGGGTTCAAGCCATTCTCCTGCCTCAGCCTCCCAAATAGCTGTTACTACAGACGTACACCACCATGCCCGGCTAATTTTTTGTATTTTTCGTAGAGATGGGGGTTTCATGATGTTGGCCAGGCTTCTCTCGAACTCCTGACCTCAAGTGATCCACATGCCTCGGCCTCCTAAATTGTTGGAATTACAGGCGTGAGCCATCGCGCCCAGACAAGAGGACACTTTTAATGGCATGGTAGAGGTAAGTAAGAGTCAGAATGTAGGAACTGAAGAGATGAGATGTCCTCTGGAGGCAAAGAAGGATGAGTTCATTTGATGAAGCTAGGATGAGGGGAGGCGGCGGATGGCAGAAAGGGCTGTGTGGCCCTGTGCGAGTTACTCTGGGCCTCAGCTGTCTCATCCGTAACGCAGCAATAATCCTATTTCCTATCACTTAGGGTTTCGGTGAGCATTAAATGTTTATAGGTGCTTGCCATAGAGCTGAACATTTAGTAAGTGCTCAATGAACACTTTTTATCATTTATTACTGAAGGGAAAAGAAGATGGAGAAAAAAACTGGATCATTTCATGACACGGAAAGAAAGGTCTGAACTCTGACAATCCCCTCAGGTGATTATATGCATGAGGACTCACTCTTCCAATTGTTTGAATATTGAATGGATTGGCTTACACCTTCTGAAATTTCTTGGTAGCTCTGGAGCAACCATTCCAAGAAAGAATAGAGTGTTTTTGGCTGAAATCTGTGACTGCTTGTTTTTGAGTTATTTTAATCTCTGTGTCAAGCAGGAAAACCTCAACAGCCTGGGATTTATAATTAGATCCCCGTGGCATGCCCTCGCGGCTCTCAAACATGCCACAGTGCTTTTGGCTTGCTCCTTGTGCAAACTTCCCTTTGATAGTTTTGGATATCGATATCAAGTGTATGTGTCTATTTTAACCGGCCCATATGCATATCCTGTGATCCCAGGCATTCGCTCAATGTGGGACATCAGGCCAGCTGTGAACTTCGTTTAAAATTTCCTTTGTGTCGAATCATTCCCTAATGCTGTATCTCCCTTGAACTGCTAGATTAATGAAAATTCTGCACAACAGATAACTCTCAGAAAAGAGTGTTGCAAAACCAGATATAGGATGTCATTTGACTTGTTTAAAACGTTCTGTCTGAGGGGATTTGACTTGCTAATTTAAAAAGAATCTTAAAATTATGTACAGTTGATCCTTAGTATCCATGGGGGATTGGTTCCGGACCTCTCACCCCCAGAACTGGGGTCCAGCTGGGGTGGTCTGACTCCAGGACTACCAAGGTTTGTCATCCTGCGTGGCATTCGGGACTGGTGTGACCCGCCTTAGGCAGAAAGGCCAGAATAGACCTAGCAGCATTGACAATAGGACGGGAATCCCAGCTTTGTCTGTGAAGGAAGGGCGCAAAGGAGAACAGCTGTAGTGGGCAAACCCCGACCGTTTCCACCCATGTTCAGCTTTTGTCCGGACTGCGACAGAACTACCAGAACTACGACTCCCAGGAAGCCGTTCGGCTCCCCCGCCCCCTCCCCGCCTACCCCGCTCCGCCCCGCCCCTTCGCGGGCACGCTTGGTATATAAGGACCGAATGGCCCAGCCGGCTGCAGAGCGCGCAAGTGGCGCGCGGTGTGGCGCTGACGCCTGGGAACGCAGCCGCCGCAGCTGGCTTTGGCCGCTCTAAGCTTCTCCCCAAGGACCTTCTGCAAGGCAGGCGCCCACCGTAAGCCTCCCGGGCCTTGTGAACCTGCAAACCCAAGGGCTAGAGACGATCTGCCTTCGGCGCTTTCCGGCTTGGCAGAGGGGTTTTCCTGGCGGGGATCTTTGGTTCGCGCTGGTGACGCGCGGGGAAGAAAGGCGAGAAGCGGCGTCCGGGCTGGTGCTGTCCCAGCGCGAGGAGGCGGGATGCGCTCACGGGGTCCGCGGGGCGCCCGGTCCCCGCCAGCGTCGCGCGCCCACCCCGGGGGACGGGAATGCGGCCGCTTGGGGAATCCCCCCCCCCGCCCCGCGGCCTCAGCGAGTCTGGAGCGCAGAGAACAGGGGTTGGCGGCGAACTGGCCTCGGATGGAAAGTGGGGAATGGGGTGGGGGGCTGCGGACCCCTTAACGTGGATTACTTGGTGTGTATCAGCTGGGCTCAGAAGACTCATGGCCTCCTCTCCGTCCGTGGACTGACTCGTTCTACTTAACAGCTGAGGCGCCAAGCTGGAGGTAAGTTTCCCTGCGGTTCGGGGAAGGGATCTGATTTGACTTTCTTTTCTTTCTTTCCTTTTTTCCTCCGCGTCGTTTTCCGAAGGGCTGGAGATTCTGGGTTGGAATTTTTGTTCTTGGAATTGACATCTTTTCGGAGGTCATTTTAGTCACTCCTCTGCCCCAGGCGGAGCGGAATCTCCTGGGACACGGTGGCCAGCGACCACCCCATCCTAGGCGTTCTCGGTCGTCGTCCTTCAGCCTCCAGCGCTGCCGAGCCTTGGCTGCCTGGAGGGACCGAGCCTCCGCTGGGGGAGATGCCCCCGCGTGCCCGGCGCACCCGCTCGGCCCCTTGCACTCGCCTTAACGCCTGGTCTCCCGCGAGGCTCCGTTACTTCGGGAGCGGTGCCGCCTCCGCGAGCTCCTGGCGTCCGCCCACTGGCGATCCGGGACGCTGCTGGGGCGCAGCGCTTGGAGAACGCGACGCAGCGGAGCCTCTCTCACCATTGAGGCTGGGGGGTGGGCGGGGGCGTTTGGAGAGCGGCTTTTCCGCAAGGACTGGGCCACCCGTTGGGCGGACGCGGGGATGCGTTTGGCCAGGGTGTGGACGGGCTTTCTAAATGGGTGGGAGGTGGCAGGAATTCAGTCCAGTGTGCCCACCCGCCATCTCCCCTTTCTGGCGCAACTTGCTAGTGGAAGTGGTTTCTTGGCCAGGGTGGGGAGAGGGCTTAAGTTTTGAGTCCAGAACTGAAAGCAAACCGCTTCTGTATCCATAGCTTCCTCCTTCGGTTTTTTTGTTTGTTTGTTTGTTTTTGTTTTTGTTTTTTTTGTGTGTGTGTGCACGTGTGTCTGCCCTGTTTGGGGGCAGCGCAGTGCCTGTCACAGAGTAGGCCCTGAATAGATGTTTGTTGAATGAATGACTGAGTGACTCCGCCCTTGGTGTGTAGATTAACCAGGGTCCTTCCTCCTGTTCCTTCTCCCTTCTTGGTATTTGTCCTCAACTCCGGGACCTATCCAGGTTTCCTGGGGATGCTTTCGAAGATGTGGGATTCCCTCCTCCGCCCCTCAGCCCTCTCCTGTAGCCTGTAGGTTCTCATTTAGAACCTGCCTGTGAACCCTTTCTCACCCAGCAGTTCCTTCTTCATAGAAATCTAGAGGCTGTCAGGGATCGCTCTTGATCAATGCTCAGGGTCCCAGTGTCTCCAGTAAGCACCTGCTCCAGGAGCAACAGAAGGTAGAGCAGCTCTGGAAGAAGAAAAGGCAGCGCTTAGTGGCACGACCCCCTGCCCTGGGCGCTGGGGCCCTCGGTGCTCCTGGCCCCATGCAGGTCCTGGAACTGCCCAGGTTGGCACAGCACCTTCCCTGAGGCCCTTCCCCACCCCGTGACCCCACCCCAGTTCTGTGCTCAGACTGACTCCCGGAGAGGAAAGGTTGAAACTGTCAGGCCAACTGATAACCAGCCCCACCACCTCTCCTCCCTGTCTGATTTTAAAAAGTAATCCATGCTCTCTTTCTTTTATGGAAAACTACGCAAAAGTGCCCAAAGTAGGAAAAAATATCCAATTCACACAGTAATGCAGGCAATTTGATGTATTTCCTCACTGGTGAAATCCTGCAATATATACTTAGAGCTTTTTCCCCTGCCCCTTTTTCGTGCAATTTTATTTGAACATTTCCCCCACGTCATCACTGCACATTCTGCTGTGGACATTGACTCATCTTTTGCTTGACAATTTCCCTATTGTTGGACACTGAGTTGTTTACAATTTTTTACCCTTGGAAGTAATATAGTAAGCATCTTTTGTAAGTAAAGATTTGTCCACATTTCAGATTATTTCCTTTGGAAATTCTCAGAAATTGCTACATTTGCTTTCAGTTAGAGTCATGTCTAAAGCAAAGGAAAAACTCTGTTTCTACACGAGGGACACAGAGTGAATGGCTGTGAGCAAATGAAGTGTTTTGTTTTCTCTTTGTATCAAAGAGTTGATTGGCATTGGTATGAGAATTAATTTAAAATTTGCCCTTGGGATTATGATGTAAATTTTTTTTAGCAATACCGTAAAGTAAGATATATCAGGCCGCTAAATTTAACATGCTATCTTTTAAAAAATATTAAAACTTTTGATTTTGATGGAAATGTCGATTTACAGGAGTTGCAAAAAAATAATGCCTAGGGAGTTCCACTTTCTCCTCTACCTCGCTTCCCCAAATGTTGACATCTGACATATCTATGGTGCAATGATCAGACCTGGGACACTGGCATTGACACGGTACTTTTAACAAATCTACAGGCTTCATTCAAATTTCTCCATTTGTCCCACTCACGTCCTTTTTCTGGCCCAGGGTCCAGTTTGGGATCCTGTAATGGGGACTTGTAAAAAGTGGAGAACCAAGAGGGGTACAGAAGACAATCTCTGTTCAGGAGGAGGTTTGAAATTGGGACGTGATTTCCATTTTCCTCCCCAGGTGAATTTCCCCCTCCTCTACTGACAATAGCAGAGCCATATCAGGCATCTAGGGCTTATGGGAGCCTGCCCATATGTGGGGAAAGCATCTCCGTGTACCCCCTCCCTCCTTTCCTCTTCCCACACCTACAGTGGCAGTGTGTCATTGAGTGAAAATGGGGTTATTACCCAGTCTACCCTGACACGTCTTCTGGGGAGTAGACAGCTGCCATCCGGTGTGCGTGAGAGCAAGCTGCTGAGCCGCTGAATCCACGGTTGACAAGTACACCGTGCAATGCCTGTGCGGGTGACTCATGCCGACTGGAGTAGCAGGTGTGTCAGGAGCTAAGCGTGCAGACCCAGCAGGTACAGCATTTCCTGGTGATCTGGGCAGATTGGAAAGAACACGGATTTCTGCTCTGAACTAAGAATGGATTTAGGGTATTGTTAAGCAATTTTGGGCTAGGAAGTGATTCTCCTTTTCTTTAGGGGACTTTCTTCCAAGAGAAGATTTGGGGTGAGGAGAGCCTGCCCAAAAGGGTTTTGGGAGGTGGCTGATGAGGATGCAGGCTAACCCAGGTTCTTTGCCTAAGAGTCCACTTATGTGAATTTGAAGAAACCCAAGAGGCTCTTCTTTTTGCCTTATAATAAAGAGGCTGCATGGTCAGCCAGTAATGCACACGTGAATTGAGTCCGTCTGCTTTGAGTATCACTGTGTCTTTTCTGACTTGGAGTGGTTGCCTGCATTGAGCAAAGGCGATGTTTGTTTGGGGTAAGGAAGTTTTGAGGTTACTGAAATCCCAACAAAACAGACTTCTTTGCCCAGATAGGGTTTCCGTGTTACTGTTAGGGTCTGGTTGCCTAGACTTGATTTTTCTTTTCCTTTTTGAAATACTCCCAACTTTCCTGTTGTAGCTTTATAACTTGTAAACCGAAGAATATTCACGTCTTTCTCTCTGTGACCTGGCACAGACATTTTCTGTAACTAGCCAGCTCCAGTGAGGATCATAACAGGAAGTCTTGCGGGGAGAGGGGTTGGGGGTGTTGGGACTAAACATTCTGGAAGGCGCCTCTGTCTACACCTGCCCGTCCCTGTCCTCAGTGTCTCCTGGTGGGTCCTCCCTTCTCAGAAGCTGCAGCTTGTCCCAGGATCCACTCCAGGGCAGTGCAGACTGTTCACTTTGGGACTGCCCCACCTGTCCCCTGGTATTCAAATTCTGGTTTGCGTAAGAATGAATTGCTTTTTAAAAATGAATATTCTTGTGTGTGTGTGTGTGTGTGAGAGAGAGAGAGAAAGAGAGAAAGAGAGAGAGAGAGAGAGAGAGAGAGAGAGAAAGAGAGATGTTTTGCTCTTGTCTCCCAGGCTAGAGAGTAATGGCGTGATTTTGGCTCACTGCAATCTCCACCTTTCTAGTTCAAGAGATTCTCCTGCCTCAGCCTCCCAAGTAGCTAGAATTACAGGCAGGTACCACCATGCCTGGCTAATTATTTTGTATTTCGAGTAGAGATGGGGTTTCACCATGTTGGCCAGGCTGGTCTCGAACTGCTGACCTCGTGATCTGTCCGCCTCAGCCTCCCAAAGTGCTGGAATTACAGGTGTGAGCCACCGTGCCTGGCTAAAAATGAATGTTCTTAGCAGCCACCCCCGTCCCTCCCCTCACCTTTAATGCTTGTGGGGCTGTATTTTCAACAAGCTACTCAGGCCGTTCTGACACAGAAACTTTAAAGAAACAGGAAGTTGACTGACTGCTTGGCTAGATAAAGCCTCAATTGAGCCTTTTCCCACTAATGCTTACCCAACTACAGTGCTTTTTTTTTTTTTTCCACCTCCTCTAGGAAGTCTTTCTGGTTTACCTCCACTGGTCTGGGTCCCCACGTGTACGTATTTGGTTTGTTGGTACCGTTTTTTACATAGAAGCCTTGAAATCAGATGCCCTTTCTATTTGGTTTAGACAGGAGTGGCTGCATTTGGGTGAATGATAAAGGAACTACAGTTCTGAGTGTCTTCTCCCCTCCTGTAGGCAAGGTCCTTGGGAGCCTGGAATGTGTCCCTGATCGGGCAGCATCCTAGTGCATGTGTGTGTGTGCTCACACAGACCACTGCCACTTCTGTCTCTGGCCACCGTAGTTCTAGATGATGTCACTGTCGTCGTGGAGCTGGTTGGGGTCCTCCACACCAAGTTAGCATCCCCTGTTTACATGATAGATGCACCCAGCTCACTTCACAAGAGAACAGGAATGATCCTGGATGAATTTCTTACCTTTCAACTGTGCCATTGGTGAAGGATACCCTGTTCAAAGTCAGCTGGGTGCTCCTGCTTTACAGATGAGGCCTGTGCCTGGATAAACATCTGCACAAAACCAATCTTGGTTGATCATGTGATATCCAAAAGGCCCCAAGGAATCGTGCAACCTAGAAGAATGCTGAAGTGGCAAGTTTCTGCCCAAGAATTCTTTCTGTAACGTGACTCATCATCACCTCCTCCCATATTTGGTTTGTTGGTACAGGTTTTTGCATGGACGTCTGGAAACCAGGTGCCTTTGTGTGTGATTAAACAGATGTGGTTTCATCTGGGG